CACTGCTTGCTCTCTCTTGCTGCTCCTAATGCCTAGAACAGACTTCCACCATGCTTCTGTGTGACCAAATCCCCTATTTTCTTCCAGCCCATCCAGTGTTGACACTCTCCTTGTCACCAAACTTTACTGTAATATAAGTACACATAATTAAAATGACCCCATACTATTGTTCTTTCCCCACTTTCTCCTTCCTCTGTTGTTTCTTTTGGGTCTGCTTTTGGATCGTATGCTCCTTGGGGATAGGAGCCTAACCAGTCTGCATAGTAGTACCATGTGCAAAGATGACAAAATATAAATTATTAGTAGCAAAATTAGTGCCAATTGTATTTTACTTGAAAATGCGAATGCTACAAAAATAAGTAAAGCTGCAGTGTTTCGTTTAATGGCGTTTTCAGATCCAATGGAATAGAAGTGCAATCAGTCAACCTTTTTCTCCAATGAGCTCAAGGTAGAAGACATGGTTCTTCTTCCCCTCATTTAATCCCCACAACAGCCCTGTGAGTAGGTTAGGCTGAGAAACAGTGACTGCTCCAAGGTCACCCAGTGTGTTTCATGACTGAAGAGAGATTTGAACCCTGGTGTCCCAAGACATGTTTCCCCACTCTAACCACTACACTACATGGATCATGGGCAATCAATACCTGACATTTCTGGTTCTGAGCAAACACAGGGTGTGTCAGAAGGAAAATGAACTGGTATTTATTCATATACAGTATATTAGTAAATTTGTACTACTGTAACATTTCTATATGTATTTTTGTAATATGTTTAAGTTGTCTGTTGTTGCTTCAGTTTTCTGTACACTGCTTAGAGATATTTTAACTATATTAAGCAGTATAGAAATTAAATAATCCACCATCCATCCACATCAAATACAAACACAGCTTTCTTACATGCCAAAACCTTGGCCTATATCGAGGATGAAGACATGGTGTGATGAAGTTATTTGTTTACATGGCTGCAAACTGGAAAGATCCCATTTAAAAACAATCCAAAATAGAAGCTTTCTTGTGCACAAGTTCCTCTTGCACAACCACCTATATTGCTCTTATTCTGTATCCTAATAAAAATTACCTTAATCTGAGGGAAAGACTAGCCATTAAACTTAACAAAGACCATATGCTTTCCATTTTAGATGCATTCAACTGGTCATGAAAGTTTCCTGTGAGTTGCAGGTATGGCTCTTTTTCACAAGAGTCTCTGCCCTTCTAACATTTTAGCAACATGAGCACATGAATTTAAAACATCTCAGACACCATGATGCATATCCCTAGCAGAAACTATAAAGAAAATTCTCATCAGATTTCCTAACAAATTTTAGAGCCGTTTCCTCTGTACATCTTTTTGTACTTCCTAGGGGTGTTTATTTTCTTCAATTATTCATGTAGGTTTCAGTGAAGCTGAATACTAATAAATTTAAGAGGTGAAACCAGAGGCCTTCACGGCTGCCTGCAGGAGGGCGAACAAAACTCTAAGCTTGCTCCAGAGTTATTAGTATTACAGAGCAATACCATACTCACATTACACAGGAACCCAACATACACTGCTGCTATGCTGGTGGAATGACTGCCAATTCCAATGTGAGTGCAGCCCAGGAACGGAAGGGAAAAACACACAAGTAGAAAATACAAACATGGACTGAGACCATGAGAGGCGCCCACAACAACCTTGGAAATGTCATCAAGGACAACCAATCAGGGCTGTGCTGCTGCCCCACACTCAGAGAGCCCCTCACCCAAGCACACAACCCCACATCTGACACAAACGACAATGCTTGGTCGTTCCTGCTCCAGCAGCCCTTGTGGCACAGCCAGCAAAACCCCAGGTATTCCTTCCTGCCATCCAAATTGGTGGCCATCACTGTATCTACTTGTAGAGAACTCCAAAACTTAACTATGCCCTTTGTGAAGAAATATTTCCAATTTCTGTCAATTAGCAATAATCACGCCTTTCAGCTTCACTGGATGGCTCCAAGTTCTAATATTATGGGAGATGGAGAAAATCTCTGTCTGCTTTCCCCACATCTGTTTGCAGGTGTAGTTGTTTGGCCAGCTAGAGATACATATCTGACTTCAGCGAATATCTTTAGGCTACGTTCCTGTACCCACTCGCCAGGGAGCAACCTCTCTTAAGCTCAGTGGGTCTTCTTTTGAGTAGGATTGCACTGTGAATCTGTTGGCTTTAAATATGGTTTAAGAAGCAATTGAAAAAGAGAATTGCTAATTGGCCAAGGCCAGTACGAACTTATAAAATGTAGTCCATAGAAATAGCTGCTGCTGGATTCATTGAGGGCTTCATATATAAACAAGCACATAGAAAAGCTATCATTTTCTCCCCAACCCTTTAAATACTAATCAATCCACATTAAGATCACAAAAATTAATCCACTTATCAAAGGAAGCTGCATTTACTAGAACAGTATGTACTTTATGAATAGAAAAAGTGAAAACAAAAATCAGAATAATTTCATGGGCCCCTGTCAGAAAAGTTATATTCAGCACTTGATTTATGTGATCCATTTATAATATGGCACCCTACTGACTAAACATTGCCATTTACAACAAACGGAGAAATAATTTGTTTAGCTGTATAATCAGAGCAGAGGCCACACACAATAAAAGAAAGCATTCTGGTTTTAAAATGAATAAAAATTGATTGTGTCCCTATAAAAAGTAAATTGGCAGAGTGTTAATTGCATTTCACATAAACATCTGTAGCAGTCTGACTCGTTACTGTGCTGTAATGCAATACAGGACACTCAGGAATAAATGCATCCTTCCAGATGAGTTCATAGATATATTCTAAAAGCGCCTGATGAGATTGTAAAAATCTGATTAGTCAGAACTGCTAATGACACTTAAAACAAAGGGAAATCTTTAAATAAAGTTATTTTGCTTTCCTTCCCTCCTGACAAATTACATGCAAATCAGCATTGATTGAAAAATGTTGCCTTCAAGGTAATTCATACTAATGAAGGAAAAGGCCATCCAACTTCAGTAAAAAATATAATTGGCAAGTTATTCAACAATTAGTAAAGTCTACTCAGCTTTTCCCTTTGTGGTTTAATGGAATAACTATATGAATGCCTGTTTTCTCTTTGTCCCTAGGTTAAAAGCACATTCTTTTATTTATATGAATATGTATTATGTGCCTTTCTGCCACAAAAACATACAGAGTGATGCAGAATGGGTTCTAGATTGCTAAACATTACCAGAAACAAACAATAAGATACAATAACAACAACAACAAAATAGTTTCTCCACACCAGATTTTAGGTGCCTCAGTATCACTTTGCAGCAGAACTACATTACAGAGAGCTTCCATGGATTGGAGAAGTGGATTCCAAAGCTCTACTAGAGTCACCACAGAGAAGGCCCTGCAATGTGTCCCACATGTTCTTTCTTCACAGAACAGTGGCATGACTTGTCATTGAATTGTGGGGGTCAATAGATTGTGACTATTCCAAGTTAAATTACTACCTTCAGGCAGCCTTGCAAATAATTCTTCAAAGGTTTTTGTTGACAAACATTTGTACTAGCTGCATTTCCCCTTCATACCTATATTAGGCTACAATTGAAACCCTGGTTATCACTGAGGAGCTCGCTTGTAATTCCAAGTTTCCAGAAGCTAAACTGTGCTACCTATAGCATGCAAATTTACAGATAATTGGGGAGAAATAGTAATATGTAATTATCAAGCAAGCATTGTAAAAGTCAATGCCTGCTACTCCTATATTTCTTACATGCGTATGGCTTATTATTATTATTATTATTATTATTAGGGACAACCAAGGACAATTGTTGGTATAAGAAATGCAGAAATGGTTGTTGTTGTTGTTGTTGTTGTTTAAAAAAGCTTTTAAAAACTTCCCAAATGCCACCCGTTCCTCCCAAATGCCAAAAAAAGTATTGCAAAACCAGCCCTATTCTACAGTGTGGTGTAGTGGTTAAGAGTGGTGGACTTGTAATCTGGTGAACCAGGTTCACTTCCCCGCTCCTCCACATACAGCTGCTGGGTGACCTTGGGCTAGTCACACTTCTCTGAAGTCTCTCAGCCCCTCTCACCTCACAGAGTGTTTGTTGTGGGGGAGAAAGGGAAAGGAGAATGTTAGCCGCTTTGAGACTCCTTCGGATAGTGATAAAGCGGGATATCAAATCCAAACTCTTCTTTTTCAGTGTGAACTAAATGAAATCAGTGAAACTAAATGGCAAGAAGTTCAAAACATACAAAAGGAAGTACCTATTCCCACGGCATACAGGTAAATTATGGATTTTGCCACCACAAGATGTAATGATAGCTGTCAACTTGGATACTTTGAAAAGTATGTTGAACAATTCTATGGAAGATAATGATATCAATGGCTATTAGAAATTATACTGATTTAATTTATGAATCACCTTCTACATGTGCCTCAATGCAATTTACAAACATAGCACAAAAAACAACTAAAGATAGTTTTCAAAACAATACAAAATGAACACCTAAGGCAGAGACCTTTTAATCCATGTGGGAAAACATGTTGACACCAAAATGTCTTCTTCTTTTTTTGAAGTACAGATAGCAGTCGCCTGTAGAATCTCAATAGGAATGCTGTTCCACCAACACAGAGAGACTATACATTTTTTCCAGTATCAGATGTGGTATGCCTCTGAATACCAGTTCCTGGGAGCATGAGCAGGAGGCTAATATTCTGCTCATGTCATGCTCATATGGCAGCCTCATATGGCAGGGTTGACCATGGAAAGAACAACAAAGAAAAAGATTTGTGTTGAATTTTGAGAGTGACATCATTGTAACCTTGAACTGAGTTTGAACATGTATTTTAATTGCATTTTAATTTTTTTAACTAATTGGTTTTGCTTTAATTCATTTGTTATGCTGTTCAGCTGACTCACCAGGAGGCATTTGTGGGGGGAAGATGATCCAGGGGCCAGAGAATCCAATGATCAGAGGGTCGAGACAAGCAGGAAGCAGCAAGGTAGGACCAGGAACCGCAAACGTTGTTACCAGCATCTGATTGCTGCTGGAAGCTCTGCTTAAGAAGGCTGAAGCCAGCTGGTTGTCATCAATGCCTTTTCCTCTGTGTCCTTGAAGACTGATCAGCTGCACGTGGGGTCACTCCACCTTCTCCCCCTTCAGGCTGCTGTTCAGCAGGTGAAGCTGACTTCTGGCCTATGACACAAACTTCCACAGAACAGGACATAAATAAGTAAATCAGTTTTATCCTCATAACAAATAAGACAAATTGAGAGTTAAGTTGAGAGATAGGGGTTAGTGTGGGACTATTCAGTGAGCACTTGGAGGGGTCTAAATATCAAACTGCCATTCCACCTATGTGACAAAAATTAAATAGGACAACGGGGTATGACATGCTCGTTTTGCAGTCATTTCATATGCAACTCACTATAATGAGATCCAACTGCTCTCAAGAGTAATATCTTATTTATATTGATTTTTTGTTAAAAAAAAGTATGAACACAGAACATTAAGTATAGTTTGGTCGCAAGTGAAGAACACACACTCCAAAAAACCTTGGGTGGAATTTAACACTGCATTATTACAATTTTCCCGCCAAAGGCAAGCTTTTCCTTTCCAGATGGAACTCTCTTCCCTCTACTTAACCAATCGTGCTGTTCTGGGGGTTCTCTCCACCTTGCAGAGCAGATGTGTGGGAGGCACGGTGGCAAGTCCCATTGTGCTAATGGGGTCCTTGTGCTGGCTTCTGCTAGTGCACTGGGTTTCTTGAATTGAGCCCTTTATTTAGATTTATTTTGCTCCCACCCCTAAAAAAAATGTTAGAGTAGTGTAGGAAACAAAATATGGAATATGAGCAGTGCTTTTTTTTTGTAAAACATGAAGTGCTGGCACCTTTGTATTGATAAAAGTGCCATGTATGCCTGAACAGAATGAATGTCATTGGCAGCAAAAGAGAGAGAGAGGTGCCAGCCACAAAAAGCAGTGAGTATAAGGATGTAATTTTATCTTCATAAGTGTGTGTGTGTGATAGATGTATAGCATTGTTTGTGCAAATGGAAGGCAGCTTCTGCAACACTCTGGAGCTTGCTGTATTACCCCCCCCCAAAAAAAAACCCCACAACCCTGCAAAAAATTAGGGGTCCCTGCTGAGCACTCTGGAACTGCACAAGAATTGGGAAACAACCCAAAACTGGACAGAGTAACCTTGCATACAGTGGAGCTCCACTGGCAGACAATATTTCCACCAAATTTTGGGTGTTTCTCATATCTCACTACACTTCTGTGTGATAAAACCAACGCTGTCCAGATGGGCACCTGAAGAGACTTTTTTGGGGGGGACAGGGGGCTTTAAGTGGAGAGGAGGAGCAGGAAAACATTGTTTGCACAACTATTGATCACAACCCACAGATTATATCAGTTCATTTCTATATCCATCTATCTATCCACCTTTTCATCTATTTGCCAATATCCAGTAAAGAGAAAGTAGTCATTTTCCATCTACATGTTAGAAATTGTCTGTAAGAACTGACACAGCACTTTGCCAAGGCAATAAAATAAAGCCTGACAGCTGCAATTTCCTACAGATATGTAGAAGTCTTGCGTGATCCTCTGGGGAATGTTTCCCTTCTATAGCCTGTGTCAGGAAAGCTCATTCACTTCTAGAAATACTGGCCTCCATTCCAGCTGCATTCACTATTTAGTATATCTATGAAATAGGCTACAGATATTAATAAGCACCAAAATAAAAATGGTATATAAATGCACTGAGTGCTTCCCCCGCCTTTCCCTAGTGGTTTAGATAGATTTTCATTTCTAGGTTTGTTCATTTTGTCCATTACATTCAAATCGCTTTGGAGTACAGTGCAGCATAGCGTAAAAGTTGCACGGCAGCTCTTTTACAAACCTGCCTTAAATAACAAATTATATTAAGCCAAGCTAAGCATTGCAGTTAAAGTAGCCAGCCACTCCTCTGGGAGCGAGACCCACTGGTGCCTTGTGCTGTCTGCTGATGAGGACTAAATATATTATCCGCATTCTCCTCAACATTCCAGTTTGAAACTTGCATGCCAGTCATTGCGCTACAAGTGAATAAACAGCTGCAGTGAGGCAGGCAGTTTGAAATCTTGAAACATCCATCAGTTCACAAACCTGACCGAAGAAGCAATCATGTATTATATGAGTCTGGCAAAAGAAAAGGAGCTCCTGTCTGCCTGTCCAATTGGTGGGACTGAGTTGGAGAAGGAGGACACATACAGCAAATAGGAGCACCTACTCTTATTTCTGAAATTATGACACAACTCTGCTAATTGAGGTTTTTTATGGTTTCTTGCATTTGTTTGGCAGTTGATGCAAAGAAATCTCAAAGAGACAATGGGCAAAACTCAGCCATGGTAGTGCAGCAGCCATCTTGCTAGCGGGAGCCCTGTTCCTAGTGTAGTACAACGGCAAATTCAGGTCTAGGACTTTCCCAGCGCTACCTGAAAATACCAAGAATTTAACTTGGCTGTGTGCAATGCATGTGCTGTACCACTAAGCTACAGCCCTTCTGCTGTTTCCCCAATAACAGATGTCCTAGAAAGAAAATACCTAGTGAATGTACAAATCTATGTAAATGGCAAGTCATCAAAAAAATTCTTACGCAAAAGTTCCTGTTACTAAAAAAAAAAAGGAAACTCATCTCAGTCAGACTTGGAGGCACAGATGAAACAAAGAGGGAAGAGAAATAGAACTTTGAAAATTGGGAGTTTGAAAATTAGCAGCAGTCATTTGTGCACACACCCCTACAGCTATTGGGAGTCACAGTGTGAGAAAAGTCAAGGAAAGAATGCATTTACGTTGTGGGTAGAAAAAAACAACAACAATTGGTTCTGAGAAGAATGAGGCAGGAAGACCCCATCCCTGCAGAAGTTACAACTGCCCCAGCAACTGATTTGCAGCTGTATTCTTTTCAGCCCCTGGGATTGCAGAAAAACCTTGGGTATACGTAGCCCAGTTCACTTGCAAGTCCACCCATGGGAGGGAATCATGTGGACACAAGTAGTTGGTAGAACTGCCAGTGCAGGTGCACTCCAAGTGCAGCAACAGATACATGGTACTGCGCCCTAATGTTGTGAACATAAATGAATGGAGGGATATAGAACAGAACCAAGCAACTGGGGAGCAGCGAGGATTAATTATGCAGTAAATTAAATACTAGGGGAAATGCCACTGTGCAGTAGACAGCTAGTTAAATTCATTTAGGTTGGGTGAAATCCTGTATCTTATCTCATTCTGCTCTATTGCTGGACAGCTCCCCTCCTGTCCAGACCATCTTGATCTATATTCCCCCCTGGACAGCTCCTTGGTGTCCTAGTTCTGCTGGATCTCTCAGCGGCGTTTGACACCATCGACCATAACATCCTTCTGGACCGTCTTGAGGGGCTGGGAGCTGGGGACACTGTTATACAGTGGTTCCGCTCCTTCCTCCTGGGCCGTGTTCAGAAAGTGCTGGTGGGGGATGAGTGTTCAGACCCCTGGGCTCTCACTTGTGGGGTGCCTCAGGGTTCTGTCCTCTCCCCCATGCTTTTCAACATTTACATGAAGCCGCTGGGAGAGTTCATCAGGGGATTTGGGCTGGGTGTTCATCAGTATGCGGATGATACCCAGCTCTACCTCTCTTTCAAATCAGAACCAGTGAAGGCAGTGAAGGTCCTGTGTGAGTGCCTGGAGGCGGTTGGAGGTTGGATGGCGGCTAACAGATTGAGGTTGAATCCTGACAAGACAGAAGTACTGTTTTTGGGGGACAGGAGGCGGGCAGGTATGGAGGATTCCCTGGTCCTGAATGGGGTAACTGTGCCCCTGAAGGACCAGGTGCGCAGCCTGGGAGTCATTTTGGACTCACAGCTGTCCATGGAGGCACAGGTCAAATCTGTGTCCAGGGCAGCTGTTTACCAGCTCCATCTGGTACGCAGGCTGAGACCCTATCTGCCTGCGGACTGCCTCGCCAGAGTGGTGCATGCTCTGGTTATCTCCCGCTTGGATTACTGCAATGCGCTCTACTTGGGGCTACCTTTGAAGGTGACCCGGAAACTACAACTAATCCAGAACACGGCAGCTAGACTGGTGACTGGGAGCAGCCGCAGAGACCACATAACACTGGTCTTGAAAGACCTACATTGGCTCCCAGTACGTTTCCGAGCACAATTCAAAGTGTTGGTGCTGACCTTTAAAGCCCTAAACGGCCTTGGTCCAGTATATCTGAAGGAGTGTCTCCACCCCCATCGTTCTACCCGGACACTGAGGTCCAGCACCGAGGGCCTTCTGGCGGTTCCCTCACTGCGAGAAGCCAAGTTACAGGGAACCAGGCAGAGGGCCTTCTCGGTAGTGGCACCTTCCCTGTGGAACACCCTCGCACCAGATGTCAAAGAGAACAACAACTACCAGGCTTTTAGAAGACATCTGAAGGCAGCCCTGTTTCGGGAAGCTTTTAATGTTTGATGTATTTTAATATTCTTTTGGAAGCCGCCCAGAGTGGCTGGGGAAGCCCAGCCAGATGGGCGGGGTATAAATAATAAATTATTATTATTATTATTATTATTATTATTATTATTATTATTATTATTGTAAGGGTGATAGGAGTAAGAGAAAGTATTGTATTCAACATTTTATCTCCTGGATCATATACAGACATAGCTCATTGATTGTATTGTGCTTCACAGATATTCCTCCTTATGAGGACATGGGTGCAGCTGTAGACAGCCCGGCAGCTTTCACAGGAAGGAAGCCCCCCCCTGCCGCCCCCCCTATTTCTGGCCACAGAAGTGGAGCTGCTAGAGCTGGACTGAGGTTTTCCCCTCCCACCCATGCAACCTGACTTAATAAACTACAATAACTTTTATATGCACTGGGTAACAACAACAACAACAACAACAACAACAACAACAACACAATGTGTGACTTGCTTTATTGCGATATTTGCTTTTTTTTAGGTGACCTGGAACCAAACTTGTGATATCTCTAAAGTATGCCTGTACACTTTTGTTAGCAGAATTTCCCTTTCCCTTTTGGAAACAGTAAACATTTCCACATTCCAGTTCAAGTTATGCATAAGAACCAGTGCCACTGGATGGAGATATTTGTCCCCATCTGCTTCAAAAAATTTAATTTGGAATATTTATAGACTGCTAAACATTATGAAATGCCATAGCAATGTACAACAATAAAAATGC